ATCAACAATAAAGTTGGCATGCCAAAATATAAAATAATAATAAATAATCCACGGAAAGTGAAATATTGAATTTTTTAAACAAAATAAAAAGGCATCTATCTTTTACCATTGCAAACGATACGAAATTCTTTTTAAAATAAAGTATGCTAGATGATGGATATAATATAAGTAACTTATTAAAAATGGCAAAAAGATACTTAGTACAAGATACAAAGGGATCTTGTATTTTAAGCATAGTATACATGGTATAATGCTCAACTTTGATTGTGATTCATATAATTTTATATAAAATTGCAAAAATAATATTTTTCATCTATACATCTATATTACACATATACAATATAAATTTAAAAGTTCTTATGCATCTTCATCTAATCTGTTCCTTCACTTTGGCCATTTTCATATCTTTCATTACTTATTGTCAAATGGATCATCCAAAAGTTTATGGTGCTATTTTATTGCCATATTACATCTCATTTAACATATCGTCCTAACGTTTACAATGCTATTTGATTGACCCATACCACAAATCTCATTATTCCTTGTTTATGTTTATCATCATATCGTCTTGACGTTTACCATGATATTGTATCCTTTTATGCTGAAACAATCATCCATTGTTCTCGCTTTTATTCCACCATCTTCGAAGTGCTTGTCACATCTTTATCTGCTCATATATTTAAATATTATAGATAATTAATATCTTGATTTTCAATCTTTTTATTTTTTTTTATATTTGTATATTTTTTTAATAATTTTCTTCATTATAAATTTTTTATTTTTTTAAAATACTTTTTTAATAATGCGACTATATTATTACTTCATCTTAAAGTAAATTTAAAAAATTTGAACATTTTAAAATGAAATTCTGGTATGATAATTAATGAGTTATAAATTAAAGGTAATTAAAAATTAATTTTGCCTTTGAATGAAGAATATCTTCCAAAAAGATAAGAAATTTGCGAGATAAGTTATTTTATTAACCAAAATTTACAAAATTATTCTTTAATATCAACATTATTTAATTGAACTTTCTTTCACTTGCAAACTATAATCCTGAATTTTAAGACAAGGGTTCATATTTGTTTCATTATATCTATATTAGATGTCTGCATTATTGCCTAATATATTATATTTATCTTAAGTACATCTAAATGATAAGGAGATTTTGATTAATTTTTAAAATTATTATTAATATTAATAAAACTAATTAAAAAGAAATAGATATTCATATTTTTAATCATTTGAAATTAGTCCCGAAAATATGGAGTTGACATTTAAACTTAAAACCCCAAATTGTTTTAAAAACAGTCTGTCATTATGCACCGTGTTATATTTTCAAAATTATAAATGTTTTTAAAAAATAATTTGGATAATTTTTTGGGATCAAAAAAATACATTTAAAATTCAATACATTTTAGACATTTATCTTTTCTAACCCCCCCCCCCCCCTTCCCTTCCCTCCCTTACCTTACCTGAAGATAAAAATATAAAATGGATATTGACTATGTATTTAATGTTGACTAAGAATTAATACATAATTCATTTGCCACCTTCTTTGATAAAATAGAAATAAAACGGTTGCTATCACAAATGATTACGCGTTTAATTTTACTCACATAGCCTTTTCGTTTGTAATTTTTATAGTTTAAACCAATGACATGAAATTTTGTAATGCTAGATTGACAATCGTAATCTTTGAAATTTTAAACGGGGACTTGAAATTAGCTGTTCGCCATTTTGATCACCTTTGATAGTATAATAAAAGTATATGATTTATTTTAATTTAGTGTAAAAAATTTCCTTTATGATTATACTCTAAATAAGCAGACTTATCATCTAATTGGTATATAATTTCAAAATATTATGTTAACCTTGTAATAATAAGTGTAATCAAAATGACAAGCATCTGACCACAATTAGTTCCGATTTTAATGCATTGATTATCATTTTAGTGTTATAATATTTACATGATTGACAAATTCTGTAACAAAAACTTGAATTGATAAATAGAATTTATTATACTTGATATTGTTCATATTTTTATCTAGATTTCAATTTTGACAAAATTTTCTTGTGGCTTTTATCCACTTAAATATTAATCTGTCAACAGATGCTTCTTTGGTCACAAAAAAGATTCCAGCAATTCCTCACAGGCTCTTTAATCTTTAAACAGGTTATCTATCAATAAATAGCTTGATTCTATTGTTTAAAGGCATATTTCCGATTTATGCAGACCATTGCAATTTGGCGCCAAAAGAATCTTAAGTCTATTAGCGATATCCGGGTTATTTTTTTCATATATTAAAAACTCCCTTCTTGTAGTGGCAGTAATAGTTTGATAATTACTATCATTTTAGTGAAAACTATCATTTTGACGTCGTGGTTGAAGAAATTAATATAAATAAAAACGCTTTAATGTTAGCGAATTTTCTTCGACAAGTGCCTGAAGATTGAGTAGAATTAGCGGACATTTAGCCATTATCAAACTATATTGGTAGCACACATTTTAAAAAATATACAGCTCACTAGAACCTTTTATTTACCTCTTATTCTAAAGTTAGACTAGCATCATTTGGCAGAAAGTTCTTTACAGAGTTAGCGAGATGGATAAAAAAGTTTTTCCAATTTCGCTATTACTGTTATCCATCTATTTTCCCCACTATTCAATCATACCAATTTTTTAAACGTTTTTATTCATACTTTTATCATCGTGCAATGTAAAATATGTTTATTTTCCACCATAAATATTCGATTTTTTTTTACTTCTTCAAAGAATTTTTTTTTGAATTATATATTATGATAAATATTTTAACAAATGTGAATAAAAAATATATCTCAATTTAAAATTTGCTCTGCGAATGTGATGTATTTATAATAATTTATTTTTACTAATATAATTTTGTAGGCTTTTTTATTAATTGTTCTATAAAAGAGAACCAATACTTTCATTCATATTAATCAAATGCTATATTTCTTTTCAAATCGCTTCATAAATTATTTTATTTTAAACTGTAACTATAGAATATAGATTCTTCTTTATATTTAATTATCACCACGTCTATATATTTCTAATGAACCTTATCTTTACTATTAATATTATCAAAAAAGTCAAACTTTTAGAATACCCAATATGTTTTAACTCCTAAAATTGACTCTTGCCACACCGCTGCATGCCTATCATTTTTATATTTAAGAGTACATTACAATAAAACAGTAATGCAACTAATGTTGCCAATTTAAGGCCTCTATCACAAAAGGAGGTGCAATGCAATTACTTCGTTAAGATTTCAAAAGGGTAACCATTGCTACATACTCAGAATCCACTTTATATTTTATTCATTGGGGGGGGGGGTCTCAATGTCATTGGCTGAGGGGTATAGAGGGCTTTATGTAATGTAAATAATTATGTTCATATGGAGGAAATGCAACTGTCTCTGGGTTATTTTTAAAAAGGGAACTTTTGAAAATGTAAATTTCATTTTACTTTAAAAAGTAAACGCTTTAACATGTTTGATTTTTTTATGGATGTTCTTAGTCCTTAATAATTTTAAATGATTTCATCTCGTTAATAATAATCTTTAAAATCAAAAATTTACTCTGCTGATATTTATTTTAAAAAACAATTATATGATAGATACACTTATCTGCGTCAGATTATTTTATTTTTTAAATAAATTTTTCATTCAGTTGCAAAATTTTTGCTTTTTCAAAAGAAAGTGAAAATTTACTGTCGCATTTTTTAAACCTTTTCTTAGCTTTGTCAACTTTAAACGAATTAATTCATTTACATTTAACTAACACTCGCTATGTTAACAAACTGTACTAACAAAGTCACTTATCAGTTATGTTAAATTATATTGTATTTTAGTAAACATGCTAGATTTTTTCTGTAGATTTAAATTGTTTTTCCAGTCTCCTATATAGAACTAGGCTATTTTTTTTATTATTTATACGGTGTATTAGGATTAACCAAAATAATGAAGATTTTACTCATGTCGTACGTTTCACCTAAAACATTATTACACAATAAACTTTTTTGAGGGGTTTATATTATGCATAAGAAATAACGAAACTACTAATTAATTTTAAAATATTTTCGCTGCTCCTGCCATGCGCATCTTGTGGTTCAAAAAGCTTTATGATTTATAATATTTATAAAACTAAAACGCATCACTCGTTTTTTAAAAAAAATTAAATTTCAAACTATACGGGTTTGATATCCTAAATTTGATCTAATCGTGTTTATAGAAAATTAAAAAATAGCTAAAATTTGACAATTCAATTTTTCAAAAACTAGGCTCCCATTAAAGTCATCCATAGACCTATCCGAACCTGATCCTACCGATTTTCTTGGACTCGGTCGAATTTGAAATTAATCCAGGACTGAAGAGCTCGATAAAATTTTTAATGATTTTGTTTTCCCAATATTTTTATGAAATTTTCAAGAATAACCATAAAATTATTAATTATTCTTTGACCCTTATAATTTTCCCGATTTCGTTGAAATATACTTATTCAACTCTTAATAAAAAAAATCTGGATAAATTTCACATTTTGATCTTTAAAAAAATTCCTAGATCGATCGGGCAAAATTTTTTCTCATATCGGAACCCGAAAAAATAAATCCGACACGGGGCTTTAGCTCCCATTGTGTTGGACTATAGCCAGAAGATCATATTTTTTTTTCATTTATAATAGAAAATATTTAGGTTATCAAACGATTATAACTTCTTTTATTAGGCATGATCACCTAACAGAAGATGATAAGTAATCTAAAATGGAAATATCAAAAGAAAACCTTAAAATAATTTTTGTTTTTCTAAATCCGCAAAGAATAAAGGTTATTTCTAATGTTTATATCAATTAAAAACTTTTACCACAATGTGCCAATATATTGGCTTATTAAATATAATTGCATACGTAGGAATTTTTTTCTGTTAAAATAGTAATTTATAGTATTAGGCTTGGACATTTAATTTTTTGTTATATTTAATTAGGAAACGGGACAATAGACTTCCCCGAATTTCTGACTATGATGGCTCGCAAGATGAAGGACACTGACAGCGAAGAGGAGATTCGAGAAGCGTTCCGAGTGTTCGATAAGGATGGCAACGGCTTTATTAGCGCTGCTGAATTGAGACACGTTATGACCAACCTAGGCGAGAAGCTCACTGACGAGGAAGTCGACGAAATGATTCGCGAGGCCGACATAGACGGCGACGGACAAGTCAATTACGAAGGTAAAACTTTTTTTCCCATCCTGAATCGATCTGGTGTTTGGCCAAATTAAATATCAAAAGTATTTAAATATCTTATTGTAATATCTATAAAAATTCCTTTCTTTTGACAATAGAAAACAAAAATAAATAATATTTTAATATAAACCTTGTTTTTTATTATTCTAGTCATTCCTATAAACTATGTTTTTATGTAAAAACATTCGAGATAATTGGCTTTTAAGCAGGATTTAACAAGTTGTTTTTATACCACCTATAAAGGGTTTTGGAACGGATCAAATTTTAAATATAAAACAACATTTTTTAATTACACAGATTTTAGTTTTTTTTTACCTTTAACCTTCATAAATAATATTTTGTTTTTCTTAAATATATAATTGCAGCCTTTTAGATTTATATTAATAAGATTACAATTAACTACTATTCCTATACATATTTTAACCTGAGTGAAAAACGAATAAATATATTAATTCTTTATATTTTAACGAAAATTTACCCTAGTAAATAATAAAATAATTTAGCCTTTTATTTATACCAAAAATTTTTGAGCACTTAATAGGCCTAAAATTTTCCGCTCTAATAGGACATAGGCACAAATTAAATAAAAGATTTTTAGTCAATGATTTGGATCTACGAAATTTACACTAATTGGGTAGTTAACAGGGCTCTAATTAGACAAGTATGCTCGATTTTTTCCCGCCTACATTGATTTTTGTTTCGCCTTGAAAAATATATCAAGGTTATTTTAAAAATGATATAGTTATATTTAAGACAGCTTTATAAAGTTAAACCTTGATCACTTACACTTTTCAACGTTTTTTTTATAATATACTATTTGATTCATTAATTTACCATAACAAAATATTAAGTAGTAAATATTCGCATGTATTAGACGTTAGCCTTATGCATTAACACGTTATTATTATATAATAATGGTAGTGGTAAAAATTAATATAGCCTTAAATATGACTGTTTTTTGAGAACAATGTTATAATGATTTTTTATAGTACTTATCATGTAACCCCTGACTTAGATTCTAGATAATTTATAATTATATTTTTTTTAAAATATAATTAGTGAAATAAAATTATAATAATATTAATCTAACCTAGACATCTTATAGACTAACCCTGGTAAATTAGGGCTTATAAAATAGAAAAACATGAAGGTGTAAAAAAAATTTACTCATAGATTATAATACTAGAATCCATTTTAAAATGTTCAGGAATCCCGGTTCTAAAATAAAATAGGGTTTATTTAATGTTTAAATTTTTATTTTTTAAAATATGATAATCAACATGTTGGGTGCATGTTTTAACACTTCATTTTGATTTCTTTTTTTATTTAATAAAATGATATCTCTATTTTCCGGATACTAGATGGATTCCATTTTTTAAATTATTTACGCGGCCGGTTCCGATAACAGACCTTATAAACTATTTATCAGAGACCTGGTGAGGTACTATTTGCACGTCCCTACCCGGAATATTAATTTTACTACATTCGATTTTATACAAAAAGAAGAACACATAATTTATAAAGTTTCACTTTAAAAAATAAATATAAAAAAGAAGGCTAAATAAGACCGGTTGGATTTAAATATGGAAGATAGTATTAAATCCTGTATCCCGTACAATCTAATTGAGATGGAAAATTATTTATGAAAATTCATTATGACTCTAAGCCAACTTCCGAAACCAAATAATTTAAAAACGGTTCGGGTTTCAGATCGTAATCATGGACTAGTCTAATAGTTGAAAAAATTTTTGTTTTCATGAAAACCGATAATGGCTGTATTTGTTTTGTTCCATCCCTGATGTCCACTAGGTTTTTGAAATCGGCCTTCATCCCTAACTTCTTTTTAAAATTGGTGATCAACTCCGTTATACGACTTTCCTTATTATGTTATATGTAAGCCTACAAAAAAAAAGATATCGAATAATAAAATCATTATTCGATTCTAAATTTTTTCTAAAGTTTATAAAAAATATTTTGCAAAAAAAATATAAACACATGTTGATTTTTAAAATGACACCTTTAAAGATTTTAGTAAAACTAAGCTAATTCTCATTAGCTCAAGAAAATAACAAGCGAAATAAACCCCAATGATTTGAGAACCTTATCCGAAAATATATATAATTAATATTGATATTTTAAAAAAAATTATTATATATACAACAATTAAGTGTTTTACTTTGCGATGTTTCATTCTTTTAAACACCTTTATATAATAAAACTTGATATACTTTAGTGCTATTTTTTAAGATGTAATATTCATAAAATAAAACTTAGGAAGATAAAAATAAGAAGAATAAAAGTAAAATAAAAAAATCTACTAGGAAAATTTAATAATTACTTTATATTTTTACTTACGAATACTAAAGAAAAAATAAAATATTTCCTAAAAATTACGAATATTTACAAATAATTTCGAACTTCGAATTGAATAATAAAAATTTACTCTTGATTATTTTTTTTTTCATTATTCATATTCGAATTTTTTAATCGAATAATGAATAATTCATTTTAGGCCTTATAAGGCCTTCATTTTAATTGCGGAGTAGTTCACCCCGTTTTTTTTAGTTTGGATTTAGGGTGTTAATAAAACGGGTTCGTTAAATTTTTAAGATAATCATCCCTTTAATTTGACCGATTCCTTTAGTCCTCAACCAACACAAATTGATAATACTAGTTAAGTTTTAAAAAAATGATTGAAAAATATAATTTTTGAATAACCGTTAAATATAGATTTTTTAAAAAAATTTCTTTTCACAAAATCGAGAAAGCGTAAAAATTGTTTATCTTAAATTTTTTTAAAAATCAAATAAATTGAAAAAAAATATTTTTCGACTATTTTATTTAAAAAAAAATTAAGTATAGGATATAATGGTTTTTCCATATTTTGTATAATATTGTATTAGATAATGAAATTGTAGAACTAGAAACTGATAAAACGCATAATATAAGGAGAAAAAATACTATTTCAAATCAACAAATGTAACATTTTTTTTAATAGATAGAGTATCGATTATAAAATAATAATACATCATGTTTGGAATATCGGATTTAGTTTCTCCGCATCTTCTAGTCATGAACTAGCTGCTAAAATTTAGTAATTTTTCGACAAAATTAATTTTTTTTTTTATAGCAACCTACCTCGGATATGATTAAATATAGTAAGGTTTTTAAAAATATTTTGCTAAGTTTTACCCATATTTTAAATTTGAACTTGCCCCCCTCAACCTCTTATATTTTTGTCCATGGTAACAAGCCCTAAAAGTTTTCTAAAGCTTGTACAGTTTTTGAAACTAGCCCGGCCGTAAATATTTTAAATAGATAAAGATGTAAAAATATAAGTGATTTAATAAAAAAAATAGATCAAATCTTAAATGAAAATGTCTATTTTATATTTTTATATAATTAATAATTTAATATTACTTTCTAATTTTAATTTAGTTTCTTGACATTATAATTTTATATTCAAATAAAATATAAATTAACGAGAATGTTCTGGATGTAACTTCTGACTTAAAATACCGATAGAATGATAGGGTTGAAAGAGTCCTGAAATATACTGCCATGACGGCCTAATGGAAAGCGAAAAAATAATGTCCAGAGTTATTTTTGTTAAAAAGTGCTAGGTCTATTAATCTAAATCACAGTTAAAACTTGAAATTTATTTTATCTTCACCGTGTGCTAATTATAAATAGTAAACTTTTGAAATACATATTGTGTTTATACGTTTTATTCATATTTTTACCGATGTTTATATATAACGGTTAAAAACTTAGCAAAATATTAATCAGAAATTTAATTTAACATTAATTAAAAAATAGGGGTTTGATTAAGATTAGGAGCATAATATAATTTTTTTTTATCTATCTCACTACCTATAATGTTAATAATTTTTTTAGTTTTATCATTTTGCGAAACATTTTGTAAATTATTATAAAATCGATTTTAATAAGATGACTGAAAGATAAAATATTTTATATGGCTTTAAAAACATTAATATTATCTGTATTGAATTTGTTTTTTTTAAAATGCTTTAATCGCGAGATTTATATATTTAGGCCCTAAAAAATATATAATTAAGATCGATAAAAAAAAGATTTTAATAAATTTATTAAATATTCATTTATAACATTAATATTTTTAGTTATTTGTGGATGCACAACTTATAAGGTTATTTTGGAATTGTCATATTTTTAATTTATCATATAACATTATTTGATAATTTTATCTTCCTTTTTTATGATAACTGTTTATAACCAGGGACCTGGAACAAAGATATTTTTGCTTTTCCATTCTCCTAGAAAATATGTTATGTTTTATTAGAACTTCCAAGAACGCGAGCGTCCCTGGAAAACTATATTTTATTTTTGTATATAAATTTAATTCATTGAATTTTATAATAAAAATCTATTATAACGTCAAAAAAAGCATTAATATTATTCTCAATTAGTGTCAAAACCATTTTTCAACGCCAACTTGACAAATTATAAATGATCTTGATCACATTATAATGCTTTAGCATATTGTTATATGAACTATTCACCCTAAGCTAAAACGCGAATAGGGAGCAACACACTTTTTATATTACTCAAATTTTAAAAATATTTCAAGTTTAATCACTTTGTAAAGATAAATAAGAATCTTTTTCGCCCTATGCCAAACAAATTAAAAAATACAAGGGTTGATATTTGATAAGTAAATTGATAGGATGAGATTTTCCAAGCGATTATCGATAATGTTTTATAAAAAATAATAATATTAAGTTTTTTAAGCCAAATATCTCGAACAAACATTTTTTTTAAAATTTGAAATAACAAATCAATTTTTTGGTTATCGATAATATTTTATAAATTTTTATTTTAAATTTATTTATCCAGAGTTTGTCACGATGATGACCTCCAAGTAACGATTTGATACGCAACGAATCCATTCATTCCCTTTTTCCTTTCAACAACAAAAAAAATTTCTGTTCAAATGATATTAATTATATAAAAAACTAATTTCTTATTAATAAACAAAAAACTTAAATCGCTCGTTGAACAAGTTATTCCGGAGAAAATAAAGATATTATTTTTATTTGTTATTTTCATCGCTCTCACCAATACCTATCGGCTCATAATTAATCTAATCCAATCCTATTATTTATTTTTAAATACTATGAATTATACATATTACATTTCTTTTTATTTAAAAAAAGAAAGATAACAATAGGAAACAAAATTATTGTTTTTTATACAAAGTGTTCTTTATTTTTATCTAAAATTATTATCATTATGATGTGTTTCTATTTTTATATTCGCAATCCAGATAAATTCAATATTTTTTTTACTGCGTTCTCAACAAATTACTTTTTTTCAGTCTCATGTAACAAAAAACAATTTTGTTTTTTGGCAAAAATGGAGGTTAAAATCGATAATTGTATAAAATATTTTTTTTTAATGTTTTTTTCCCTCTTGGTTTTCTTCTATCTGTTCGCTCGACATTATATAATTCTTTAGATTTATTGATTTCTTTATTTAATTTTTTTTATCCTTTTGTCACACATAGATAAATCTACTTTGATTAGATAAATAATTTTGCTACGAAGATTAATTAGAATAAATGATTTACTTCCACCCATTTTTTTCTCCTTTTGTTAAAACTTATTATGAAGTGCTTTATTGAAATTTTATTTTAGCACCTAACATGTAAACTGTCTAATAATATATTTGCAGACCTTAAATTATTATTTATAAATATTTGATTTTTTTAAAATGAATTTTGAAACAAAATATGCTTTGTGATAACATTTATATTATGTATCTTATTTTGTATAAAAAATGATTATAATTTATTCCGATATTTAAAAAAATCAGCGATACTTTCTAACCACCCCCACAAAGATTATTTTATACACTTTAATGTTTTATGTGGAACAAAACTTGGTTTTATTAAAAACGCCTATAATTTTTTTTAATATTATCTACACATTTGGTTTATGTAAATATTGTAAAATTAGTTGATATATACATCAAATCGTCAATATATTTTTTTTCTTAGAAAATATTGGCTAGATTATCCTGGGGATCATGTTCATTCAAACTATAATCCTAATTTAATTATAATACATTACATATAATATGCCTTGGGGAAAATGTCCTAATGAATTTTCGACTCTTCATAATTTATATCGTCGGTGTAAAACAAATTATATATTTATTAATTATTATAATTTTTAAATGATCTATAAACCCCCCCCCCCCCTTCCTTCCGTTATTATCATTTTTTCTACATCACATAAAATTTATATATATATAATAAATAAAAATAAATACATAATTTATGGGTAAAATAAATGCGATAACAAAAAGGTGGATTTTGCGACAGTGCGAAACAAACCTCTATTATGTAACTCAACATACGCTTTGATGTAATATGCGATCTAGTTACTTTTGGAGGTTTCACTGTATCATAAAAAAGTCCCATTTAAATTTTAAAAAAAATTTTGTGAATATATTAAATATATTATAAAATTTATTAGCATATATATTAATTTTTTCAACATTGTATGAAAGCAAAATATTTTATGTTAATAAAAAAAAATAAGTAAAGATAGTTTCTATTATTACACATCTATGAATAATGATGGTATGTATAGTGGCTGAAATTTTATTATGAAATATTTTGGATAATTGAAAAAATAAACGAAAAAGGATTTCTTATCACCATATTTTTACTTACTATAATAGTTATAAATAAATATATCTAAAAAACACAAATTTAATGTTTTTTAATATTTATATCTGATATTGTTTTATTTGTAATATGACCGATAAAATTTTTTTCATTATTAATACTCCTCAAGGACATTTAAAAAAAAATTAAGTAGCGAATTTATACATAAAAATTAAAAGGTTTCGCGTATTATATTATATATGTCGTATTGGGATTCGGAATCCGTGGGGATTCGGAATCTCTTGATTTTAAATCCTTTACCGAGAGCGATTTAAAAAATTTTAAAGTTCGATTTAACCGGAAATGCATTCTAGCATGGGTAGAGTACCCAAACTGTAAATTTCAAACAATTTTGCCATGAACTTTAGAACCACTTCTAATTTATATTAATTTTTATATGGATTTTTCATACAAATTAAAAAATACTAAAATGTCCATCGCTGAAATTGGCTGAAATTTATAGGGTAAATACTCTGCACATGCTGGAATACAATTCCTGTGAAATCAGATGTTTAAAATCCAAAAATCGCCCTTAGTAAATGATTTAAAATTGAGAGATTCCGAATCCCCACGAATTCCGAAACCCCATACGACATATATAAATATAAATACCAATATAATTTGGATACAACTTTGGTCACATTAAATTGATAACTTAGATAAATAGTAATATATAAAAAATTAACGGCTGTGAGCATCTTAACTTTTATGAATTTGATGTTCTTAAACGCACGAATACTACTAAATAATACACGAAAATGGGTAAAAATCCTTAATGTGGGCATCTTGGCCTTTATGGATTTGATGCTCTTAAACACAAGAACGATACTATATAATTTACGAAAATGTGTATAGAATCCTTAAGGTGGGCATCTTTGTCTTTATGGATTTGATGCCCTTAAACGCACGAAAACTACTAAATAATATACATGCGTTAAATCCTTAAAAATAACGTAATTGGTCCTTTGTAAAAAAATAAAATCATTTGACATTTCATTTTTACTAGCATATTTAAATATGAGTATTTTTATGTTCCTTTTTTATAAAAAAAATAAACAAGTTACGTAGAAAACAGATTCCCTATTAGTATTTATTTATAATTGAGTTTATAAATTAATGTGCACTGGTACATTTTTATCGATTTTACATTTCCAAATATTGAAAAAAAATGCTCATATAAAATTATAAATTGGGATATTTAAAAAAATAATGAATTAATTGAATTTATAATGGTGTATTGTGATAATATTTTACAAAATCGATAATTCGTGCTTTAAATATAATTAGTCAATTTCATTAGACTAATTAACTAGTAATCTGGATTTTATTTAATTAAACATTTTGAGGGAAATAATTAGTTCACCTGGATTAAATGCGACTTAGTCGTCTTCAGCGAAGAATGGTATCTCCCTACCTATATACAAAATCTTTACCATGTTGATATGATGTTTGCATCATAGGCCATTGATTCTTATTTTATCCATTGTTTTAACCCTTCTTTGCCTAGCCTACAATTTTTTTATACAGATTCCTTTATTGATCTGTTTAGATTATAAAAAATGTTTAACCACGAATTTTGAATTTTAATAATTAAATTTTTTTTTAAAACATCAATAGAAGAAAAAATACGAGATTTCAACTGAAAGTTCTATTTACATAGGAATCTTTAAATATTTGATAATGCATAAATATTGAGTATTTTTTTTATTTTCAGTAATTTGGCTTTCGAACATGTCAAGATTTGTAATTATATAAAATTAAATAATGATATAGTTATATCAATGATATTATGTCATTAAGTTATATATTGTCATATGTGGTCTCAGGGGCTCTGCCAATTTAAAAAATAAAATTATACTCATTTTATCGTTATATCAATGACATAATATATCATTGTGTTATATATTATACGTCTCAGGGGTACGCATATCTGCCAATTTAAAAAAATTTATACCCTCTAAAATTTTGTAAGATGAAATTTTTACTTACAATGGTCTATTTTATATTAATGTTTTTTAATTGCAAAATATAAACATAGGTGTAGATATTTATAGACATAATTGAATTGGAATCGAAATATGTAGAAGTGATAGTAATACCCTACTCGATCTTAAAACCTTCCGGTTTTCTTATTTGTTAGCTATAACACTACTATTATGACGGGGATTAAATCTGACATGGCCATATTTACCATTGTTCACTATTTCAACTTGTAAATCCGTTATGTCCGATTCAATGAAAATTATTAGGGAAAACCGGGGGAGCATGCCCTAGATCAAGCGTCAATAAAATGAAAATTACTTGATAATATTGAATAAATAATGTCTCATTTGATTTAACTTATTTACTTTGCTATAAAAAATTATACTTTTTTAACAGTATTAATTTTTTCAATTTGAGTAAGGACCAGCTTTCCCATAAGGCTCTTCTGAGCTGTAAAATATTGATCATTTTTAATATAAAAATGATATTTATATTGCATTTGCAACTACTTTATTGATAAATATAAAGTATAATGTAAAATATAATAATAAGTGAAATTTATTGACAATTTAAACATAAAGAATGGATTAAAATTATAACAGGATTCATGGCTTAAAAGCAGTCCTCATTATGAAATTTGTAATAGTTTTATTTACATATTAAACATGTCTTTTTATTGATTATCTATATTGTTTTTAGAACCAATTTTCATAGCTCTTTCCTTAGCTTTCTTATTAGTGTTGATAAATGGCTCGATTTGAGCCGATTTTTTAAAACGGCATCAATATTATATCCAGATTAATATTTCACAAGCCTGAAGATTTTGGTCATAGTTGGCACAAGGTTTTGGACATCCATTAAAATCTCATGGCTTATAGTCAATATTTATTGACAAAAATATTGAGTTAGCCGTTTTTAAAAATCGACTCAAATGCCGTTTAACAACAGGGGGACGATGTTAAAATTTATAATTGCTTATTTTTTTCTTCCTTTTTTAGAATATATTTTGGATATAGCATAATAGACTCTGGAATAAAAGAATTGAGATTTGAAAATTTCAATAAGCATAAGTAAGTTTTAAAAATGGCGCTCATAAAACTCGTCTGAAAAATAGTTCTAGACCCTTTATATCTTTAAAATTTAATTTTATGGTAGTTTAAACATATTTTTTGCTCAAATAAAATATAATTTTTAATAGAATAGGGTTTAATCCAGGGATCCAAACTAAACCTGAACCGAACCGTTAAATTGCTAAAAACCGGTATTTTTTATCGAACATGAATCGAACCTAAACCGCTAAAAAATTCTAGCCGAACCTGAACCGAACCGCTATAATGTCGCTGAACCGGTTCAAGCCTCATGATTTTATGATTATAAAATAATATGAAAGTTATTATCAGGGGTGTGAACCCTGGACCTTCGTATTTTGGCTGAACCCAGACCCTTTTAAAAAGTGGAGGGTCCAAGGGTTCAGGGTGTTAAAAATTTTTAACTTTAAATTTTTTTTTTTAATTAATGTAAAAATATAATTTTTAAAAAATAATATAAAATTTTTATAATTTTATTAATTTTTAAAAAATAATATAGAATTTTTATAATTTTATTAATTTTTAAAAAATAATGTAAAATTTTTATAATTTTATTAATTTTTAAAAAATAATGTAAAATTTTTATAATTTTATTAATTTTCGTGGAATCTCCCTAAAAAATAGTCAATTTAAAACTATAATTGATAAATCAAGGGATGTTGTAAAATATTTAAGAACTCCCACAATTGTTAGAATATTAAAATCCATGAAAAGGTAAATGGCAATTTTAGATTGCACAACACGTTGGTCCTCTATGTGTATGATGCTAGAGCTATT